TTAAAAAAAAAAAAAAAAAAAATTAACATTTAAAATGTGATAAGATTAGAACTATTTAGATGAAGGTATGTTGGATATTGATACCTCTTGGACTAAGAACGCCAAGGCTGTGGATAAGGCGATTTTCCAAAGCGAGGCGGGTAGTATGATCGCCAGAGCAAGATTTTAATGCTGTGACAGATATGTCATCTTTACCGCTGTGGTCAGGGCTATTAAAATGAAGAGGGATTGGTTTGAGTGTCTTCTTGTCGATATCGGAGAGGTGTTCCCGGAAACGATCAGCTAGCTTCCTGCCAGTCTCCCCAATGTATGCCTTGCTGCATCGTTTGCAGATAATTGCATAAATTACGTTGCGGGATTCGCAAGTAGAAGGTTCCCTAATTTGAAAAGAACCATTAGGGAAACTGACCGAAGAAGTCTGGACAACGAAAGGACATGTCTTGCAGGTGCTACGTGAGCACTCAGTAGTCCCAAAAGGAATGGCTGTGTGGATCGGTGGGAGTCGGCTTCAGACAAGTATGTCTTTAAGGTTGCGGTCTCATCTATAAATCAATCTAGATTTCTCACTAAAGATAATCTTGGTGTCCGGATCAGAGCGGAGAATGTCCATATCCAACATACCTTCATCTAAATAGTTCTAATCTTATCACATTTTAAATGTTAATTTTTTTTTATTTTTTATTTTTTTTATTTTTTTTAAAATATTTTTTATTTTATTTCATATTATTACCTTATTCTATTTCTTATCAGTATCATTTATGTATCATTTACACTTGCATTTCTTTTATTCCCAGTATTGTGACTATATTTTTTAGCCATCGTTTATTTTATTTTATTTCATTTATTCCGCATCACATTTTTTAACGTCGCTCACGTCACCCCTTAGAGATCTACATACTCTCCACTCCTCGTTTGTGTCTTTCACTTGTGTTTGAAAAAGGCTGCCTGGCCGAAACGTTACGTTGTGTTGTTTTGTGCACGTTTTCCTCTTTCCCATTTTGTTGAGCTTTTTAGTCTAATTTCTCTGGAATTCATTGATATGGGAAAGCTTTTACTGCCTACCAGTCGACATTAAATGCAGTCAGTTTGTCTGGAATAACTTGGGGGGGGAGACAGATAGTAGAACCATGGCTACGGTAGAACAAACACACAACGGCTTCTGGAGATACCTTATCTACAACACATTCATTGCTGAACCAGGCATAGCTAATTGTGCTAAGGGTGAAGACATTGTTTTTTATTTCAGCTCATTCGTGCACCTTACCCCCAGATAACAACGACGGGTTGTCTAACCACACGTGAGCATACAGGTGCACAGAAGATGCGTTTGTAATGCCTGCAAGTGTAAACAAACAAGATCCCGGGTTGTTTTGTCCGGGCTTCGGTTAGTTTGTCTTTTCCATTTACCAGAGAAACTGAATTCTCCGCTTCTGAAGATTGTCTAGCCACGACTGCGGTTTCAAAGCCGAGTCTGAAATCTATGCTGGCACATGGCTGCGCTTATGTTCTAATGGGGTGTGTGTAATTAATGTAGTTTTAACTGAATCTTCTACTTTCATTTACTGCTCTGTAGTTGAGTACTCCATTTTGGTCCAGAGGTTGCCAGTTTGTGCCTCTCTCTCTCTCTCTCTCTCTCTCTGTCTCTCTCTGTCTGTCTGTCTGTCTCTCTCTCTCTCTGTAAAAATAACAGACCAGCTGTCCCTTTTTAATCATATTAAAAGGCAATTAATTAAGATGTTTTTAATTGAACATATTAGACCGAAAGGTGCAGATATCAGCGATCGCCTGTAACCACAACACACAAAGTGCCAACTAGTCTTTTAAGGGCGAACGCAGACTAAAGAAAGAAACTGCTCTTTGGTAATGTCTGCTTCTCTTGATGTATGTTGTTTGTCATTGAAAGTTTATCAATTAGGTGAATGCAATTTTATTCAGAGCGTTTTATATGCGTTAATTAAAGTTGAGAACCGACATCACAGCAAATTGAGTATTCCCATAAACGCCCCGTCCCTAACTTCAGCAGCCAGCTTAGAGTTCCAGTACTGATTGTGCCTGTGTCTGACTATAGAGACAACGAATAGTGAAGGATGAACATAATTCGTTAGCATTTATTAAATGCCATTTTACAGTTTAGCATAGAACTTTCTTCAAACTTTAGTGTATTTACGCTCCTCGTGGCGTGGGAGGGAGAATTGAAACATTCCTGCACTGATTTTTTGTTTAAAGTCTCTCTAGAATTTCATCTTCTCTAACAAGGGTATCTCATTATCTGAATGCTTTCATCCCATTTCAGATTATAAGATCATTTTCTTGCATATTTTTGCTTTGTAGAAATAAATGTAGATCATATAGATGGACAAAGAAGAAGATTGGAGAGATAATATACAGTCAGACCTACAAACACTGAGAGCCGCCGTGGTGTCATGGCTAGACGCTCGCCTCCGGCTGGAAGGTTGTAGGTTCAAATCCTCATTCAGCTGGATTAAAAACAAATGACCCTAGCTCCCAGGTCGACCCAACCAGAAATGGGTACCGGGTAGAGTCCGGGGAAGTAAAAGTGGCTGCCGTGATGTTGTCCACATCACCCACAGAGTGCCGATTGGTCTATAAAATATAGATCTAGTACTGTAGTCCTAAGGTGGTGTAGCGGCTAGACGCTCGCCTGCGAATTGGAAAGTCGTTGGGTCGGGTCCTAAGGAGCCGGACTTTTTAAAATAATGACCTTGGTTGCCAGGTCAGCCCAGCCTGGATCGTGTAGCAGGTAAAGTCATGAGAAGTAAAGGCGGCCGGCATGGTGCTGACCACATCATCCACCTAGTACCGATTGTTGTGTAAAATATGTGTGCACTAGCACATCAAACCCGCCATCATTCTCTTGTCTTTCGCCTGGTAAATAAGGGTAGGATAACTTAGTCCGGTCCGTTTCTTAATGTTGTCATTCCAGGTTATTCGTTGCCCTCCTCTTCTTCGACTGCCCCTCAGTGTTCATTGAAGTACAGTCTTTGCAGTCGAAGCATGTCTCACCACGTGCCCAAACCACGACCGGTCCCAGTTGCAGCTGGAGCCGGTTGTGCCCAGACCAAGCTAGCTTGCGACGTTTCTCACTGAAAAGAGAGGCTCCTGACGTCCCGTACATTTGTATAAAATAACTCTGACATATTAATTAGTTCTGTGTTCGATGAGGTACAAGGTGGAAGAGAAGAAGAAGAAGTGTTCTCTATAACTATCTAAATTAGAAAACCTGCCATACAAACACCTGGAGTCACCAACTGGAAAGAGAAGATCAATCTCAGAGACGGCAGTGATATCTGCAGGAATGAACCCCAAAGGTTCATAATGCTGGAGAAAAAGGATAGTAGGGGGATTTTGTAGTCTCTGCAAGTCGATCGATCCATTAGTGTGTGTCACTTCCGGACTGCTACCTAAGCGTTTACCATTGGTTAAGGTTTAAAAGATATTAGTCGCAGTCTAGACGGCCGACAAACAAGGCAGATGTCAAATGTGTTCAGAAGTAAAGCACATTATAAAAAAACAGAAACAATTAAGGACAGCCCCGGCTGAGCAGTGGTACAGTTGACAGTATGTGTACAACTAGCTCAGATGCCGCCCCAGAATACTGCTACAAGTGTACATGTTTACAGCCAGCTTTCATCCTGTCAATTTGTAGGTGTAATTATGTGCTTGACATTTGGTTTCTTCCGTGTGTGTGCTGTTGGGCTTTCTCTCTCTCTCTCTCTCTCTCTCTCTCTCTCTCTCTCTCTCTCGCTCTCTCTCGCTCTCTCTCGCTCTCTCTCTCACACTCTCTTTCTCGCTCTCGCTCTCTCTCTCTCGCTCTCCTTAAACATACTGTTTTGCCTCTCTCTCTCTCCTTAAACACACTATTTTGCCACTCGCTCTCTCTCTTCTCTCTCTCTCTCTCTCTCTCTCTCTCTCTCTCTCTCTCTCTCTCTCTGATATTCTCTTTTTTTTTGTTTTAATGGTCTGTAGAGAGTAGACAAATGTCTTTCTATTCTCACTGTCTCTCTTTTTAATCTCCTTGTCTTATCTTGTCTCTCTCTCTCTTTCGTTCTTTGTCAGTTTCTGTTACCCTTTTAACCATTTTTTCTGTCTTTTTGTTTTCTTTCTGTCTTTCTATTTCCGTATCTTTCTGCCCGTCTATATTTGTTTTTTTGTCTTCCCCAGTCTCTATTTCTCTCACACAGTCTTTATCTGCCTCCTCATTTTGTCTCTTTTTTTTCCCCATTCTGTCTTTAGCACTTTGTGTTACTGTCTATGTGTCTCTCTTTCCTCCTTTTAATCCATCTCTCTCTCTCTCTCTCTCTCTCTCTCTCTCTCTCTGTATGTGTGTGTAAAAGCTGTCTGTGCCTTTCTCTAAAACTTTATGTCTCGCTATCTCTGTATCTGTCTATCTGTCTGTGCTTTTATCTGAAACTGTCTTTCTGTCATCTCTGTATCTGTCTGTGCCTTTCTCATTATATGTCTCTCAGTATCTGTTTCTCACTATCACTCACTATCTGTCTCTTACTGTCTGTCTCACTATCTGTCTCTCACTATTTATCTCTCACTGTCCGTCTCTCACTATCTGTCTCTCACTTTCTGTCTCTCACTTTCTGTCTGTCACTTTCTGTCTCTCACTATCTGTCTCTTACTGTCTGTCTCACTATCTGTCTCTCACTATTTATCTCTCACTGTCTGTCTCTCACTATCTGTCTCTCACTTTCTGTCTCACTGTCTATCTCTCACTGTCTATCTCACACTATCTGTCTGTCACTTTCTTTCTCTCACTGTCTCTCTCCCACTAAATGTTATATATAAATAATAACGTGGCATTTATCATTGTCATCTCCTCTCAGCTGTTCATCCTAACCGACGCACTGTCCTGCAAACTATGTATCAGAAAGACAGTACTCACCACCACTCACTGACAGATCGCTACAGTGGGATTTAAAAGGCTGTCTGAGGCGGTTGGTTGATATCCAGGGATAAATGAGGCAGCAAGGATGATGGAGGAAGCAGCAGACGATCGCTCAATTCTTAGAGTTCATCTTCCAAATGGAGGATTTAATATGGTCAAGTACGGAGATGCAACGGATGTGAAGGTTAGTATTGGAAAAATTATGGTTTATTTTATTTTTATTACCTTGATAAACATCCCAGTTGTTTCAGGGCCCTTTATCCCGGAAAGGAAAGGGGTGATGGGGGTGGGGGGGGGGGGGGGGGGGATAGAACAGACTTGCTGCTCTTTTACAGGCAAATTGTTAAAAGACAAATATTTATTGATTTGCTGAAATCGGATGTGTTGGGCCAAAACCACACCATTTTAACTCTTTTCACCCCAAAGAATAAGAGAATGAAAGGTATCTGTTTAAGCTGTCCTTTTGTTTCCATAAAATCACCCAGCACTCCCTTTTTTTGTTGTTGGTCATGTTGTCAGAGCATATTAAAGAAATCTGGCTTCTACAGTGGGTGTTTCCTGTGTGCAGCCAGTGTGAAAGTAATGCACTCATAATGGCGACTATTACCTCCTTGCAGAATTCTCCTTGGACTTACTTTTTCCCCCAGCCTATGCTGGTGTGTTGGGAAATGATCAGGCAGATAGATTGGCCAGTTCTGCACCGCTTGGTGTTGAATTGGTGGATGACAAGCTTGATATTGTGAGGGTCCTTTGGGAGTGAGTGAACAGTGTGGAGGCACAGATAGATCATTACAGTCTGAGGGTAATAGCGCTGTGAGAAATTGCCAGGGAATCTGGGAATCACCCAGCACTCAAGGGAAAGGCAAGACCGATATACAGACAGTTACTGGTGCCGTCGGAATTGGAACTCTGAAATCCAAGTTGTCCGACTGACGGAACATTTCAGTTTTGATGACTACTCTAATTACATAAAGTATATTTGCAATTGAGACGTTTTACCAATAGTTCCAGCAGGGTTCCAAGTAAACTGGAAACAATTTGTGAGCAGACCTCTGCATTAATTTTTACAAAGTTCGTACAGCATGTATCAGTACGTGTGCCGACACACCTCCATGCCATGCAACACGACTGTCAAGAATCTTCTCTCATTGTCTTCCTTTATCCCTCCTTCCACAGATCTTTCCAGTGGTCACAATATGTTGCATTTTCCCTCTTCTCATAACATGGCCAAAAAAAAAGGATGACTGTCTCCTCAGCAAAACTATAAAGTCTGTAAATGCTGGAGTTGCTTTGTGAGGCCCTAAAGAGGAAACACAACTAACGTACCTAATAGCTCCAAATATATAGTGCAGACTGCTTATGGCAACCTTGCTTGTGGCGAATTTCTGTTGTGAAGATAAATGTGTTTATCCCTGGCAATTTGTCATCTTTGTTTATGTAAAAAAGAATATTCAGATGAGCAGAATTAACATATCTCAAATTCTCTGATAACCCCTGAATGATTAAACATATCCCAACTATTTAATTTGATCTGCTTAAGGCGAATTTATCTTAAACACCTGGACATTTATACAACTTCTCGGCTATTTTGGGAAATTGTGCTCTTTGTCAGTGTTATTAGAATTTTAGTTATCTCTAGCAGTTTTTGTCTTTGTTGAAAAAAAAAATTAGTGGTTGAGTGGGATCATTAAGAATCATTATCATTAATTCTCGGATGACCCAAACTGTTAAACATATTGTGACTATTTAATTTGATCTGCTTAAGGCAAACTTATCTCAAATACTTGGACATTTGTACAATTTCTCGGCTGCTTTCAGAAATTGCACGCCTTGTCAGTTTTAGAATTTGAATTATTTTCTTCTAAGATTGGTTGGACAGTTAAAATCCAAATCTTGGAAAAAAAAGGTTGAGCTATTTTTAATTAACTCAAGTTCGGGTGCTAAGGCACAGAGGAAAATTGCACTTTTTCATTTGAAAGTGTAAAATGTGCTGTTTTTCTCTACATATGACCAACTTTGTACTTTTGGTGATTCATTTATTTTCTATGTAATACACGTGTCATGTATTATGATATTTATTATTGTATCTTATGTTATAAATAGAAATGCCTGGACAACCACTATATCAACAGTTATAAGACAGAGAATGTGGTGCTACATTGGACACATCATGAGAAGAAACCGGCAGAGAATCACCAAACAAACATTAAAATGGGAAAAAAGAATGGATCAAGAATGTGAGGATGCCCAAAAGAAAACGTTGATTAGAGAGACCAAAGCTGCTGGATTGCATTCATGATATTGAACTGATTGCACATTATAACATGGAATGGAGGAACTAACTACGAGCCCTATGTGACATATAATGGCACAACAGGACAAGGAATGAATGAACTATTTTTTTATCTGGCTTAGAGACATTTTTGTTAAGAACTATTTCTTTGATCCCTGGGGAGTTTCTCCTTATCAGGTCTGCATTATATAGAGCTACATATATCCACACCTCCTCTTAAAGAAGCTATCTGCATACTCATCTTCCAGATATTTCTGTTCTAGTTATTGTCTGACCTGTGTGGGTACACAATAACCTCTGGCAAATGTTCTTCAGGACATCATTAAACTTGTTGTTGGGCGTCTGGCGGCAGGGGAGCGTTATTTCTCACGGTGCTATGCCCTCAAGCTGGCACTGGTTTCTCAGCGCAAGAGCCACTGGCTGCACAATGATCTCAGCATGTACCAGGTGCGGCAGAAGTACGAGGCTAAATGCATGCCTGAGGATCTGAGGTATGTTTGTGTGTGTGTGTGTGTGTGTGACAGTTTATGTTGTGTGGGAAACTTTTCCTTCAAGAAAGGATTTACTTCTTTGAACTTTGCATGTACAGGGTCTCCTCGACTTACAACCTAGTTCAGTTCCGACTAATAGGTCGCAAGTCGAATTGGTTGTAAGTAAAATTTAAATATTTTTAACACTTTTTTATACCAGTTATAAAAATTGTACATAAAAGACAAAAGTGCATATGATTATTTACTTCTTCTTCTTTTTCTCCTTCTTCTCTTCCACCTTGTACCTCAGTGAAGTGTTGGGGAGAGATGTAACAGTCATTGATGAGCTCTTTCAAGAGCACTATTAAGACATCTGTGTTATTTTTCATGTGTGCATGGGTGAGACGTTAATGATGTTAGGTTAGATTGTTGTATGAAAGATAAGTCTTATCTTTGTAAGGCGGTTCTTAATGCCATCACTGCATCTTTTCCGAGGTCTTCCACTCGCTCTATACCTGTTGTAACGTTTTGTACAAAATGTGAAAAATGCACTCTGTTGTACACAATTTGTGACCCTGCCAATGTAATTATTTTTTCTGCATTTACTATTGTTGTTTATTTAATTTTTTGGTGTTCATAAGAGTGGATGGTTGTTAGGTCGCATAGTCTTAAGTCATAAAAAGGTGAAGTTCATATTTTGTCCGCAGTACAGCTGGTTTCTAACCAAGAGTTCTGCACAAAGCATGTATCCGAATATCTGACGAAAACTCCCAGGGATTTCTGAGTCAGTTGCACTAGCAAACTTTAAGACTTGGAGACTGAACACATAACCTTTACAGCCACAAGCACGCGCTCCGTACTCCCACTAAAAACTATGGATCTATTTTAAAAAAAAACAACAACAATATATATGTTGATATGTTGTGTTTGGGACAGTCTGGGGGACATGCTCTGTTGTCTCAGGTGCTAATCCACATATGCACATGGCTGATACAAAATTTTGTGTACATGTCGCTGCAAAGTCGATTGGGTCCTGTTCTAAGGCATAGAGTAAAAACTTGCTCTGGTCTGTCCATAATATGGTAATCAGTTTTGGTGGCTTTCTGATTGATTTGATTATTCTCTTTTTTGTTGTTGATCAGAGACTGGTACGTCAGGTTGTTCTTCATTTGCACCTTCCTTAGCTAGTTTATCAGCTCTTTCATTTCCAGGAACTCCACAGTGGGATGGTATCCATTGCATAGCTACCTCACACCGGCTGCCTATTTTGGAGAGTAGTGTTTGTATACCAGATAGTTACTGTTTTAACAAAACGGTGAAAAGAAAAAAACAACTGTTATTATTGTTTACATATATAATGAGAGCACATTCCAGTGTTTGTAACTGACACTTAGATGTTGATGATGATTTTTATTATTATCTGTTAAATTTTGCATGAGTGGAATAATTTATGTAAAAAATGAGGGACAGAACAGCTAAATATAAGACAAGCCTGCATGCCCAATTCTTAACCCTTTTAGAATAAAGTTCATTCATTCAGTGCTGAGCTAATTGTAAATAGGATGTGATTATAGTTAAGCTGATGTCAAGAAGTAACTTAATCCAGTACAAACTGTGACCGGATTTGTGTGAGTCTTTGCATTATTCCCAATCCCAGATGACCACCAGAGTAAAGAAAATTTGTTCTACTTACAGATATGAACTAAGAGTTCGATACTTGCCCAAAAGCTTTCATGAGTTGTGGCAAAAAGATAAGGTCACCTTCTGTTATCTGTATGACCAGGTAATAATTGTTTCATGTGTGCATGGGTGAGAAATTAATCATGTTAGGTTAGATTGTGTAATGTTGTGAATTCCCGGGGAAATCATAGAGAGTTCCCGATGGGGAGGACAAGGTCAGAGGACCAGTGATACAAGAGGAAAACGAGATAAGTGGGTCTCGAGTATCCCGTGGTGAGCGAATAGGGGATACAAGAAAAGCGTGAGACTGGAACGGTAGACGTGAACTGAGAGACGGTAGTAGGACAGTTGAAGTTCGGACCTGGTTGTGTGCAGTCGTATGTGAGAGAACACCTGATAAGAATTGAGAACTTGTGACCAAATATAATTGTTCGAGAGCGGAGATGAATGTTTCATGATTTCCAATTTCAACATATACTAATACCAGGTACAAGACGTTAATGTGATACTGATGTGTGATCCGAGAGATACGAAAGGAGCCAATCACAGTGTGAGAGAGTTAGCCAAGCCATCAGAAATCAACCATGCATAGCGACCACGAGGACGAAAGAATGCGCTGTCAGTGAGATATTTGTATTAGCGAATAAAGGTCAATAACTGAACGTTCGTCTTCTGATGTGTCCTAGCAACTATGTGTACACAATACAGGAATGTGGCGTGTAGAATCAAACCCCTTGCAGAGCACATTGCAGATTGTTGTTTGAAAGATAAGTCTTATTTTTTTAAGACTGGCTTCTTGCCAGAGTTCACAGTTGGTGAATGCAGAAGAACCAGAAGTAGAGAATAGTAGATAAAGAAGAAGAAGAAGAAGAAGAAAAAGAAGTGGAAAAATAAAGAAGAAAAAAAAGAAAGGAAGAAAGAGAAGAAGAAAAAGAAAGAAGAAGAAGACAATTAAAGGAAGAAAAAGAGAGAAATAAAGAAAAAGCAGGACATGAAGAAAAAGGAATTGAAGAAGAAGAAGAGTTTGTTATACCGGTTTATGAGACGTAGATTAATCATTTGCTCTATTTGTGTAGGAGAGATAGATTAATAATTTATCTGCATCCACAGGTGAGATCTGATTACCTCAGAGATGTTGCAGACCATATAGACCATGTAGTTGCCATACAGTTAGGATGTATCGAAATGAGGTAGGTTACATTCAGTATGTCATTTCATAGCATCCTTTGTTCCAAATGTACCTTTCCTTTGTAGCGAACAAGGCTGGCCAAGCGATAGATCATGATGCATGGGCAACACATGGTCTCTACAATACTGCCCAGGCTTTGTGCTGTGGTGTTGTTACCTTTCCTTTGAAGTAAACAAGGCTGGCAAAGAGATGGATCATGATGCATGGGCAACACATTGTCAATACAATACTGCCCAGGCTTTGTGCTGTGGAGAGAGGAACTTCATCCCTGGCCTTGATTCAACAGCGGTCCTGAAATCCTGTGTTCTAATTGTGAAAATCTTTTCCCAGCACATTCCAGTCTTGCTAGATTCACCATAGCCATGGACTATGAGTCACCTACCTCCTCATAGCACAGTATATACATTTATATGTTTATATGTGTATGCACACACACACACACACACACACACACACACACACACACACACACACACACACAGACAGGCACACGCGCACACACACACACACACAAATATATTTATATCAAGGCAGACAGAATCCATGGGTGATTGAGTCCAGTGCATTGACAGTCAGGTTAAGGCTTGAAAAGAGCTTATATTGATAGAAATGAGGACTGTGTTACATAGTTCTGCTTCTCCTCTCCAAGCTCAGAAATTTGTGGGGTATATGCAAGACCAATACTGGAACCTTACATGTGTAGAGAGAAGTGTTAGGATTTAACTAGGTCATCATTCCAATTCCATTGATTCTTCTTCTTCTTCTTGTTCACCGTCTGTAAACTCCAGCGGAAAGTTCTGGTTGTTCATCCACTTTTGGACTCTAGTCCAGTTTCAGAACCTGAGTATTGCATGCACATCTGTTTTACAGTTCTGACTGATTGGAATGACTGTTGGTTCCTTGCCACTCAAGTAGATGCACTCTGACTTTGAAGGCAGCTCCCATATAGTCGACTATTACAACATGTTTTAGGAGTAGGCATTAGGTCTATTCTTGTTTTCCCCATAATGGGGCTTCGGAACCTACATGAAGAAATCCCATTGATTAAAGAACTAGTATCTCTGTACACTAGGCCTAATTGTGTGTACTCATTTTTCACTGTATGGGTTCTAGGACCCCATTCTGGAGGAAAAAGAAATAGACCTACTCCCCCACAAT